ATTTAAAGGGAGTAACAAATGCGGCCTTCCTTCCAGAAATCTACAAAACAAACTGCTATATGGGAAGTAGAGGGAACACATAAAATGTACACATCCGAACTGTAATTCTCTGCGAAGTGAGTTAAAGCACCTTACAGATCAGTGTCTCACCTGTAAAAACTGGCTGATTTCTTTCAGTTTTTCTACTACATCATGTCTTCCTTGCTTTTCAGTTTCCCGTCTGTACTGCACAGCTCGCCTGAATTTTTTCAGTGTTTTTACTACATCCCGTCTTGTTTGTTCTTCAGTCTCCCGTTTGTCCTGCTCCACTTGACTGTGTTCCACTGTATTCATTTCGAGGTGACGTCTGAGGTTTTCTGCTTCTTCCTCCAACTTCTTCTTCTCCTCCTCTAGTGCTTCACATTTCTTTTGCATCTGTTTCACAGATAATATCTCCTTTAGAAGAAGCTGAGTTTCTGCACTCAGACGGAGAAGTACTGAAGACGTAGATTCGTCTTTTGCTGGAAGATCAGCATTCTGCGTGAAAAAGGTAAAATTGTTTGGTAATGAGGTTAGCAGACTGAGAACAGCCTAACTCTAACCCAGCATCAAAGGTTGAAATAAATTCAGTTACAATAAAATGGTATATCTACCTTGTGGAATGGAGAAACTCAAACTACTCAGAAAATCAAGAAAAAAAGTTCAAACCACCAAGAGTCACAGAAATATACTGTTCACTGTCATCATCTTTGTTATACATTTGTACTTGATTTTACACTCTGATGTTTCTGTAATTGTTTCATGTCTTTCCTACATAAAATGACTACAAGGCACCTCTTAGTAGAAAGTCTCTTACCCTTTCCTTCCCCAAGTCTTAACTCTTCATGATTTTTAAAGTTTTAGGGAGATCATATTGAATTACTTAGGGCTGAATTAATAAATGCCTCCCAAAACAAGACTTTGAAAAAAAGACTGCAATTAATACATCTTACAAATATGGATTCTAATGCCATAAGCCCTTCTCTGAACTACAAATATCTTATGCTTGTTTGAATTGCATTCCAAGGAGCAATGAATGATTCACAGAGTTAAGGAGAAATCCATCTCCTAGTGTAGTGGTTTAGTAAGATGACCCATACACTTTTCTAAACAAACAAAACAGCCTTCATTCTTGTAATCCTGTGTGGCTCTCCACAAAACAAGAGAACATACTCAACAAAAACAAACAAAAAAACTTGCTGGAATTTCAGTGACACTGACTTGGGAAGAACTGCTCTCCTTCAGACAGAAGGATTGTTTGCTAAGACAAGGCAGGCGGAGGTGGTGGTTGTAAAACATCTCTACAAATTCCTTGACACTTCCCCTGCGAAATTCCCTCCCCTGAAGTAGGTACTGGCCTCAGTTAACTGGTTTCTAGGGGACAGAATGTGGGGGCACTGCTGTGTGATTTCTAAGGCTAAATGGCCTCTGACTTTCACTCCATAGGGACGCTCACCCTTAGAACCCAGCCACCACGCTGTGAAGCCCAGGCCACCTACTGAGTCTTTGTACACACAGCTGTCCCAGCTGATGACTCCAGGGAATATCCTTAACCAAAGCCAGCTCCAACTTCCAGACATGGGCATGAACAAGCCTTTAGATTATTCTAGTGCCCGCTTGATGCCAAGTGGAGAAGAAATGGGCTGGCTCCACTGAGCCTTGTCTAAACACAGATTTGGGAACCAAGCAAATGCTGTTTTGAGTCACCAGGTTTTGAGGCAGTTTATTATATAAATTATTAGCAACAAATAACTGGCACAGATATTGATATTAAAAATGGGGCACAGCCATTAAAAAAGAACCCAAAATGTGGGGACGCCTTTGCACCTGGAGGTAGGTGAAACCTGAACAGATGCAGAGAAGAGTAAGAGTGAAAACCCAAAGTGTCCACGAGACTGTTAGTGGAAGCCTGAGGGCCCTTGAAGGGCTGAGAGTGAAGGCTTCTAGGCCAGGGAAGAAGATGACGACCCTGAAACCGGAGGCAACGGGACTCTTGCTACCGAACAGCTGAAAGTAAAGTTGATGAGATACGCTAAAACAAACAAAAAGATTATTAAATATAAAGGAACCAGGACTCACTGGGTTCAAATATCTGTATCCCATTTAAAGCATCTCCACATGCCCAATGGTCACATAATGGGTAAGCAGAGAAATGGCTTCCGGGCTAAGATCAAATCTAGGGTGCTGCCAGGAAAACAGTCTGAAGATGAAGCCAAGACTTTGTTAAGACCTTGGAAAGATTTAACGTGCTGCCTCAAATTCCTTTAAAGATCTTAAAAGCATAAGAATTTCAAAGGCATGGCCCCCCAACAGCTTCACAGGAAGCCCAAGGTGAAGAGTTTATCTCAAAAAGACGTGAGAGTAGCCTTTCCAATGGCAGGAACCCCAATAAAATTCACAGGAAATTCAAAGTTTTAAAGAGAACTGTGCTAGCAAAACTACTGCTTGCTAGCTTGGACTGAAAGAGACAAGACAGTGCAAAATGGGAAGAGGCCTTTGGGCCTCTTTTCTTAGAAGGTCTACAAGGAGGAAGCTGGCTTGAGAGAACTGCTCAGCTGCAAACACAGGTCACTGCTCATGAAAGGGACAGAACAAAGAGCTTAGAGAGGGCAGCGAAGGAGAACCCCTCCCAGGGTTAGGACTAAGTCCTAATCAAAGAGCCAACAGCATCAGGCTGCACTGCAGAACAGGTACGGGCCAGCGGGCCTCCCATCTTCCATCTGTGAGTGAGGGAGTCCTCAGCAGTTCAGGAGAATGCTGGGTGTGTGGCGGCAAATAACCCGTGTCTCCTTATCCTCAAGCCTCAGCACTGAGAGGCGTGTACCCAAGGGCTGTACTCCAGAAAGCACGCCCAGGAACCTCAGCCCCTCCTGGACCTGGTGAAGATGGGAAAGTAAGACCCTGGGCTGGAGCCTGAGCCTAACACCACAGCGACCGAGACCTGCTCACGACCGAGTAGGGACAAGTGGATTTCTTGTATGGAAGCAGTAACAAAACATTGTGGCTAGTGAGTAGATTATGCTGGTTTTTGAATGTCTCCATAAATTTTCAAAATTAATTCCATAAAAAAGGTACAATATGGGCCAACCTTAAGTGCCCTGCTCCTAATGAACAGAAAACGGTGAAAGTGGCACTGACTGAACGGCAGGGCTCGGTTTGAAAAGGCACTTCAGCTTCTGCCTCGCTCTTAACCCTGAAACCCAGTCTCAGGCGGGCAAGCTCAGGCCACAGAGACAGCTTCCGTGTTCCAGGGGAGGTGGTCCACCTGCCCACCCCACCTAAGCCACAGCCCACCGCCGACATCAACCATCAGACATCAGCGGATGAACCTTCACGTGATTCCAGCCCCCTGCCTTCGAGCTGCCCCACCTGAAGCTGAGAGGAATAGAGGCCAGCTGTCTTGGCCACACTTTTCCTAAGTGTAGGTTGTGAACGAAGTAAATGCTTATTTAAGCCACTGAACTTTGGGGAGTTTGTTAGGCAAAAACAGATAAACAGAAGAGTGGATGAAAAAACAGTAAGAAATGTAACTTGAATAGAGTAGAAATTGGTCTCCTATAAACTGGAATGTAACAAACGTTGAGATTATCTTATTAATGACAAAGTGCTGATGAGAAGCAGCAGGTAACTGAAAGAAAGACCTCAGAACTAGCGAGAAGGAAGATGCTTTAGAGTCCCCTCCAATTACAGCTTCTTACAAACAGGCATGTATTTCACAGTTTCCCCTCAACTTTGAGGATAAGGAAGGCTGGTAAGCAAGGAGACACAGGATTTGAAGTCTAATAATTGAAAAACAACTAGGAATAGTCAGTTTACCAAAATCAACCTTTTTACCTCATCTCAACGAACTGAACTTCTAAGAGAACAGGCAGCTTTGAGAACTTACTAATCTAGCACTCACTCTTCATTTTCCTTTCCTCAGAGAGAAAATAAAATATTAAGGAACCATAAATGTAGTGTCCTTTGGCAGTATTTAAATTAAATACAATTTTTCCTTTACCTTACTTAAAAGCTCGTTGGTAAGGGAAGGTAAGACTGTCTCAGCTTCATGTTGTAGCACAATGTTTCTCCATATCACACAGATTGGCTTTGAACTTTTGAAATTCAAATTACTAATCTGTTATCTGTTTCTGATAAACTGATTGAA